TCACATTGACCTTTTAAAACATGTATTTGTATAAAATAGTGAGTAATTTAAAACTTTATAATTATAATGACTAATTTACATAAAAGACATTTTCATTATTATAAAACAAATCAGAGCGTGTATATTTCACTTATTATTTACATATACTATTCGAAACTTTATAAAACTGTTCATAGCTTAAACAATATATTCTTTTGAAAACATGCCAACTAGAACTTTATATACTAAAATACATATTATTCACCTCTTTTCTGATCTGATCTTTAGTAAGGAGAACTGACCTGTCTTGCTCCACATTGCTCTTTACTCTTCTCGAAACCTACGTGTAAATCACTTACACGCTAAGTCAAAGACTTAGTGAGGCATATAAACATGTAAGGTAAACGGTAACTAATAATCATACCTAAACAATTATTACTATCATTTCATACCACTCATACTTTTACATGTAACGAATATATGCATACATATATGGCATTATCATATCTCTTATCTCATGTTCCTATGATCTCTTATGTCCATATAACATATACCATAACCAATTGCCATATACATATCACGTCATGTAAACCATATTATACTATCATAAACACGTACCCAAGCAACTATATTATCATCTTCATTTCTTTCTTATTTTATCAGTATCATTGATTCCTTTCATCATATGGTCTTATAAGTTACCATTTGTACAATCAATATCACACATGAAATTCCACAAGGAAACAAGCATATTATCATATCACTTTATTAATATTATCTATTTAATAGCCCATGATACACATGTGAGAACTAAAGATATGCGAGTACATAGAGGTTGTGCACTAATGCTGTCACCACAGCTCATATAATTGCACCGAAGTGCCACGTATAATTACACCGGAGTGCCGCGTAGAATTGCACCGTAGTGCCATATAATAATGTCCATAAGGACCACATATCATTCCTTAAGAATCATATACATATACTAGGGATCAAGTATGTGTCTCACCAGACTTCACACATGTTCCAAAGAATACATATATGTCCCGAAGGACCACATATCATTCCTTAAGAATAATATACATATGCCAAGGATCAAGTATGTGTCTCACCAGACTTCACACATGTTCCAAAGAATACATATATGTCCTGAAGGACCACATAGACCCTCGACTCTTGGCATACCAATTATACCCCTAGCTCTCATGACACATAACATGGGCATTATCTTTTATATCCTTTTACATATTCATGTAACCATATCATATATTCATATAAGCTCATGGTTTCATTCACATATACATGTAATCAAATAGTTCATGTCAATTCTCATATGAGTTCATATTCATATAAACATAGGATTCACCCTCATGTATTACATATACTTTCTCTTTCATATAGCTCATAACATTTCTCATGTGTTCATATGACATGTAAATCATTGTCATCTTATCATGTTATCACATAAACATATCATCTTACAATACATACAAAAACACATCAATACATATATTCACATATACCTATCATTTCATTATCCTTATTATTATTCTTATCATCACCATTAATCCCTTTTACTTACCATATTCATATCAATAACACATATACTCATGCACACATATAAATCATAACCAATACATACTTTTATGAATTCATGTTTTTCACTATTGGAAATAGACTTATCGCAAGTCTTATTTTCCATTGAACCTCATATACTAAATAATATGCACTCACCTGAGCCTTGTTTGCTTTGAATCAATCTTAATCCTTAGATTGTTCCAGAACAAGCTTTATTCTATATCTACATCATAATAATACATTGATACATATCAGTATACTAATTGATATCTTCTAAATTGTCACTTCTTAGGCTAAAAGAAAAGCCCATTTCATCTTTTAATGAAGGTATGCATCGATGCACTGCACAGTGTATCGATGCATTCCCTATCGGTGCATCGATGCACTACCTGTGCATCGGTGCATAAAATACATTCGATATTTGTTTATTACTGGGATGCATTGATGTATGCCTTATGCATCGATGCACCAATTGCATTCGATGTTTTTAGTTTAAAAGAGTGCATCGATGCACTACTTGTGCATCGATACACCTTTAAACAATTTCTGGGTTTTAACCTTGATGCATCGGTGCACTATGAATATGCATCGATTCACTCTGCCCAGAATCCTCTTTTTAAACCCGAAAATTCATTCTTTTTGGATTAAATCCTTCATATTTCAACCCCTTTCATATTCCTAACTTACATATACATAATTAAACTCATTAATATTCATTTATCTCATCTTTAACCTCTAAATTCCATCTTTCATATGGAAATCAATAATCATACCCAATTTTCCATGTTATCCAAACTTAATTCTAACACTTCTAACTTCTTATTCTTATAGATGACAAGTCAAATTCATCCTCCAAATTCATTTAAACCTTCTTATTCAAAATTTCACTTAAAAACTCATTTTCTTTAATCTCTTCTAACCTCTTCATCTTTGAGTTTTCACTTATATTTAGACTTCTTTAAGCTTTCTTACTTTCCAAAGAATCAAAACCAACTTAGAATTCAAATAATAATCAACTAATAAAAATTCTCACCTTTGTTATTAACTTCCACGCGTGAAGAAGAAAGGAGAAGAAGAAAACTCTGAAAACTCATTTCCCACGTTTTTATATCCCCTAAAAGAGAAATAAAATCTTCTCTTAGAAAAGACCATAATACCCTTATTACTTTCAAACTTTACTATTAAATCCAACCTCAAAATTCTCCAATTAAAATTCTGAACTTTTAACTTATTTCGAAATTGAACACAATGCTTCCAAAATTCACCTTTAGGTCACTAGCCTGATATTGAGGATGTTACAATTGCTTTGCGGTCTTTGCATCAGAAATTTTTTCAAAGGTAGATTCGTCTACACCTTGTAAAATAAAGAACAACACTCTTTTATCTTTTTTTGAGATTACTTCAGTATCATTTTCTCTTCATTTGATTGGGTTGCTTTTGCTGCTGCATTTTTACTTTGATACCACTTGTTGAAAGCGTAAATGGGTACGCGATAATTTATAACTCGTACGCTATTATTAATACAAAACAAAAATACAAATATGATACAAACACTAGCAACAACTAGTTTACAAATACAACTCCGTTATTCAAAGCTTTGCTAAGCTTTAATTTCTAACTCTCGATTTTTTCTATCTCACTTTTTGCTTGTATACATACTAAAGCTGATCTACACAGATATTTATAAGTATAGTAAACCGCCTAACATTGCTTCTAATATATTTGTTTTTCCACATTATTAAGCTTCTTACCGTGATTGAATTTTGCACTTGTTTTCCCATACAAGTTGTTGGCCACCTTATTGCCACATAATATTCGTATCACCACCTCAGTTAATCCTAATGAAGAATTTTGTTTGTTACTGCTGCATCACCACTTTGCTGTTGCAATTTCATCACGTTTTTTATCTCCACACTTTTCTTAACTATTCTAGATGTTGTTTGTTGCTTTCTTTAAATGCTTTTACTTCAAAGTTGCTTCCAAGCTTTGCCGACATCCAAACCTTTAAGAAATCAGGTTTGATTTCTAATAATTATACAGTTTTTTATCGTTGAGGTTTAAAAAGTTATGAAACAGATACTAACACAATAAGTTGCTAATAGAATAATCATTCAGCCGTTAACGTTAGATCATGGTTATATATGTGTGTGTGAATCCTTAATTTAGAAGAAAGAAGAAAAACAAAGCTTGGAAAAGAAGAACAAATGAGCAGAAAAATGGTCTGTTTTAATATCGTCCTAAGGGGTTCGTTCAAGTTGTAGAAATGGAGACCTAATTTAGGATTTCACATAGTTCCTTTCGAGTTATGGACACTGGCCATGGGAATGGAGCCAGTAAGAGTTCAAAAATAGACATAGAAGAAAATGATGGTAATGTAACCAATAAGAGATCGAGGATGATCTTATATTAATAATTTCCCTAAATAACCATGATTCAATTGTGACATTAAGGTTGATTTGTCTCGACTTGTAGATATTGCACCATTTTTAGTATTTGTAGGCAGTGCAATTTTCCATGCAAGATTGTATGTGAATTTTTCTTGAAACTTTGCGTTAGTCGGTGATTGTTATTGTTTAGTAGAGTTGGGGGCATGTTCAATGCTTGGTCTGTCTACAAATATGCACCAGAGTCAAAAATGGTATTTATAAATCCTGATTGAGTCAGGTCAATAGTAGAGTTGTTAAAAAAATTCAATATGTTGGATTAAATTTGAAAATTCAAATATTCAATTCGTTTTTTGATTTTTAGATAATTTGGATTGTATATAAGAAGAAAAAAAAGAATGATAAAATAAATTAAATTTTAATTTTGGATTATCCAAAATTTTGATGAAAATTAAACTTTTAGAATTTAGATAGCCTTCAGCCCAACAAATATATTTATTTTGAACCCTTTTAATAATTTTTTAATAGAATCTGCTAGTCTTATTAAAAAAAAATGAATATCCAAAATTATTATAAGACTTTACAACTATCATAGTAAATTAAATACATAATTTGACATTTTCCGATAACATTGAAACTAGTCACTTTAGATCATATAAGGACATACATGGAAAAGGTTAAAAACACAACCAAAGGAATTAAATAAAAAATAGATACAAGCAAATTTGATTGCATCGGCAAACGAACCACCAGAGGGGGTTAAGTTATTGAAAGATGACCAAGAACCATAAATTAGAGTCGAGCTTCGTGAGAAACTATCCACGATCATATAATCGAGTATCCAAATTTAATCTAAGAGTTCATATCTAAGAAGATCAAATGGATTACAAATAAGCACCATCTTGATCAGTCGTGACGTCGTCAAATCCAACCCTGAGAAAAATAAAAAAAATGGTCAAACGATCGAAAATAGACACCCCTGTAATCACCAATTTTATTCCAATATATTACTACAAAAAAGGAAAGCAAAAAAAAAATGAAAAAGAGGGACAAAATCCCTTAATATCTGGGGCATCCAATGCCCCGACTGTTGAACTGGTTACTACCACCATCTCTCTGCCATCTCCACTCCCATGCTACCATCACTGTGCCATCAACCGATCCCTGCTCAACCACAGAAAATCACATGCACACAAGCAAAGAAAATTGTAAAATTTTTAGATTTTTCAACGTACGATTGTAACCCGAGAATGGTTTATTTAAACACTCGAAAATCATTTATAAATGGAGGGACTCTCCCTATTTTTACAGAACAATACAATCAATCTTTACCCTTTCATTTTTTCCACAGAGAGCAATACAACACCAAATGATTTTAATTTTCGAACTAACAAGGAGAGAAGATGTTATCATTCGGCCAAAGATTCGTCGGCATTGGGGACTTCGATGGTTAATCCGAGCAGTGAGAAGGCTCGTCTTGGCCTTAGGAACGTCATACTTCAGAACCACCCCGATCCGACGACTGAAAATAGAAATCGAAGTGTTGGAAGTCGAGAAGTTTACGGCTTGTTTCATGGACTTTGAGGTCGGATCTCACAAAACGATGGTCAGATATGCAACTTCCACAACAAGATGAACGAACCATTAAAGTTTGGTGGCCAACGACCACCGACGACGATGGTCGACGGGTGACGTCGATGCTAGTCCTCGGTTGCTAGAGAGAAGGGAGAGCATTTTATGGGAGGAGAGAGAGAGTGAAGAAGAAAAATGAAGAAAAAAAAGGAAAAAGGGTTTTATAACCCAATCCAGCCGATGTCGTTTTGTCCCAATCCCATGTGTTTTGGTCTCGGTGGTCTAATCATGTGTGCAACCATCACTGTTTTCTCCCGTGTTCATTTTGGTCTCAATTTCAACTTAATTCACTTATTTTTAAAAATTTTGTCCTTATTATGATATTTACCATTTTTAATGTTTTAGTACTAACTTATTGGTTTATTTTCTTTCAGGCCCCTCTACTTTACGCGTGTTTTTGTATTTTGGTCACATGTAGTGATTGTTTTAATTTCATTTTAATATTATTGGTCTAATCCTGTAATTTTTGCATTTTTGTTTATTAGTGCATATTTGGCTTATAAAAAATGGTAAATCTTTCTTAGGTCCCCCATATTTAGCTGTGTATTCACATATTTGTTGCTGGATCGGGCCGATTCGATTTTATTCCGATTTGCTGGGTCTTCATGCACCATTGCCCTTTTTATTTTTCTAGAAATTGTTTATATCTAAAACTGGGTGACTCTTGCATTGAACCCCCATAACTTTGTCGTATTTTCTATTTTGGTCAATATTCCTTTGTTTCTTGTTTACTTCAAATTTTGGATGTTAATTTTATTAGTTTTCATTATGGTTGTTCATATGTATTTGTTTTTATAACGAATCTGATGCCCTTGTTTATATTATTTTTATTATGGTAACTCGTTCATGACATTATTTCGAATTGCATACTATTTTTTGTTCATATTGCATTTTAACCCTTTTATTTTTTTATTAATATTCTAACATTAATACGACCTTCTGGTGACCTGCTCTAGGGTACGATCCACATTATTTATGGCCCGGGTAAAATTTAATTTTTTTAAATTATTAATCTGCTAAATTTCTAACTTCTAACTTTTTATGTTCGAATCATTTTACGACCTCGCAACGACCGACCCTAAGCTATGACTTGCGTTATCTATGGTATGGGTAACATTTTAAATATTAACCCCTAACTTCTAATTTTATTCGATTGGTTTATTTTCTATTATTTACATTGATGCCCTTTAAATTTCTATTGTTTTAATTTATGCCTTTATTTTTCAACATTTATATTTTAGTCCTTTAAACACTAATTTTTGAATTTTTTGTAATTTCTTAATTTAAGCTTTAATTTATGTTTTCTTTTATTTTGGTCCTTTATTTAATGAACTTTAATTTCAACTTTACATTTTTAAATTCCTTTTAATTTAGTCTTTGATAAATCACTTTTCTTATTAGATTTAGTCCTTAATTTTTTTTTGAAATAGGGTACTCTGTATTAAAAACAATAACAAAGTACACCATCTCAAGGACCTCATTAAAACCTCCCTACCCCTAAATGGAGGAAAAAGAGTGTACCTTGAAATAGAAAGTATCTTATACAAGAATAGCTTAAATAACTAACATTTATACCCCAATCACGACCCATAAAGCTAACTCCAATACAGTTCAAACCATAAAAAACTAGAACAACAAGAGAAGCATCTGCAGAACTGAAGCAAAACCCTACAACAATTGAAAAGATCCGAAACACATCAGAGAGCAAAATTCACCAAACCTAATCATCCAAAAATAACTGACCACCTCTCCAAATGACATCAGACAGCTCAATTCAAAACCAAAACATAAACCCACTATAATCATGGAAACACTAGGCCTCGACCAGCGACACAAAGATACTCTTATCTCTACAAGCAACCCCAAACCAATTCTATAATAATCGAACACCAAGCAGCCGTCATAAATAATTAAGGAAAAAGATCGAAACCATGCAGCATGGTTCAAGGAACAATCCTCCACATGTATCATAGCAAAACCAACAGTCAGAGATAATCACAGACTAGCGAAAGAGAAGAGGATAATCATGCTTAGTGAAACAGTTCTAGTGAACCAGAGAGGGGAGGGGATCGATAGACTGGAGCAGTACTCAGAATAGAATGGCTAAAAACTTTAAATGCTAGCAGCCCAATTATCAAGGGCAGCTCCCAAAAAACCAAACAAACCAACATTTTCAAGACCAGGCAGATTCAAATATCAGAGGTGAAGAGTTACTCCAATGTGCGCTACTGACCCACATCGATTACCAAAAATAGTTATTCATACTCATCAATTTCCAAACAATAGGGAATCGCGACAATGAACAAAATCTTGAATGCTCGGAATCAGCAAGGGCTAAAGAGTATTAGCCCAAACACCTATATGAACCATAACATAATGAAATAGTTGATCTGCCGAAAAAGACTTGCCATGAAATCTACTATTGTTCCGACACAACCATACTTTCCAAATAATACTAAAAAACCCAATATTCCATAGAGCCCGAAATTTCTTTTTGATTTTTTGAGAAATCCATACCTGCAACAAGTCTTTAACATTCGAAGGAAACACCATGCAAATATGCCACAAGGAGCACCAACGTTGCCTAATATGCCATACAGCCTCGCATTGAACCAATATATGATTTATAGATTCTGGAAAACAATGACAGAAAGAACAAAAGGAATGATCAGAAACTGGAACACCTTGCTTTACCAGTTCAGAGATAACTGACAGTCTTTGATGCACTATTTTCCATACAAAACCTGACGCTTTTGGTGGCACAAATTTGCACCAGACATCTCTCCATATCGGATCTTCCAATTTGCCTATTGATGACGCCCTATGGAAAAATGATTTCGGAGAATAACAACCATCAACAGAGCCTGCCCAATTCAACTTATTTATAGTAGGGACCGTACTAACGACTTTGTTTAATACCTCCATGAAATTCAACCAAAGAGCTTTTTCCCATTCGAAAAGGCCTCTCCTAAGCTCAATCTTCCATACCCATACATCAGTCACCCAAATCCCAAACTCAAATATATTCCCGGACATTTTTAAGGCCAAACCAAATATTATAGGGAAGGAAGTTTTAAGAGAATTCATTTCAGACCAGTTATCATTCCAAAAATTGATTTTAACTCCATTACCCATTATGCAAGAAAAATCAGCATTCATATTCCCATCCTGAGAAGCAATCGGGTTAACAATGTTCTGCCAGACCCAAGAGGAATTTCGCGCATTGACCTCTCTTGGAACAATCGAATCAAGACTGTAATTGTACTTAACAACTATGATTTTTTCCCAAAGACTTTCGCTATCCGTACTAAACCGTCAAAACCACTTATTTAGCAAGGCTCGATTTCTTGTTTGAACATCGAAGATACCCAATCCCCCATGAGATTTCGGCCCACAAATAGTTTTCCATTTTAACCAGTGGATTGTTCTCTCATAATTACCCTTCCAGACAAAAGAGGCAATGAGTTTATCTATAGAGTCAGCAACTGATTTAGGAATATAGAATAATGACATGAAGTAAACAGGTAAATTCGATAATACAGATCTGATCAACGTAAGCCTATCCACAAAGGATAAGAATTTAGTTTTCCAGCTCTATAAGCGAGACTGTACCTTCTCCAAAACTTGTTTCCAAAGAGACTTCAAATTCTTTTTGTGTCCTAATGGAAGGCCCAAGTATGTCGAAGGAAGAAAAGCCCAACCGTAATTAATTGAATTCGCCCAATTTCTAATCCTGCTGTTATCTACATTGATACCAAAAATCTTTGATTTTGAAATATTTAATTTCAAGCCCGCCGCTAGCTCAAAAATTTTTAGAACACGATTGAAATTCTTTAAACTCTGATCGTTTGCAACCGAAAAAATCAACAGATTGTCTGCGAATTGGATGTGAGAAATATCAGTGTTTCCGAACCCTACTCCTACATTACCGCACAACCTAATGACAGTCGCTTTCTTGAGCATACCACTAATAGCCTCCCCAACAACATTAAAAAGTAATGGCGATAAGGGACAATCCTGCCTTAGTCCACGCTTAATAGAAAACCTGTCCGAAGGACAACCATTAACAAGAACGGCAATAGATGATGTCGAGATGCAGAAATGGACCCACTTTCTCTATCTTTTGCCAAACCCCATCTTCTTAAGAATCAGACTTAGAAAGTGCCAGTCAACAGAGTCATACACATTTCTAAAATCAACATTAAAAATCAAAGCTTCTTTTTTTTCTTAGAAAGGTCATCAATGACTTCATTTGCTATCAGGACGCAATCGACAATCTGTTTACCTACAATAAACGCAAACTGGTTCTCCCCCACCACCTCTTTGAGACAAGAAGCCATTCTCCTTGCCATAACCCGAGAAACTATTTTATTCAAACTTCCCACCAGCGAAAGTGGTCTATAATCCTCCGGAGAAACCGCCTCATCTATCTTCGGGATAAGAGATATGAAGGAATTATTGAAAGATGAATCCTCAATAAGACATAAACGACATGACATATTCCTTGATAACCAACCAAATTTTTTTAAAGAAATCCAGATTGAAACCATCCGGACCGGGCGCTCGTGACCCATCAGACGAATTAATAACAAACCAAACCTCTTCTTCAGAAAATAGTCTTTCAAGTAGCCTTCTTGAACCAACACTTAATCTCTTAACCGGGATCTCCTATTTTTTAACTGTAATTGTCTTTGCATCATTGTAAAAACCCCGAAAGTAGGAGACAAAGGCTTGCTGAATCTTACCTTGATTTTTTAAAACACGATTATTAACCTTCAGTTTAGAAATCTGGTTTCGTTTCGCTCTAGAAGAAGCCGTTAAGTGGAAAAACTTCATGTTTATGTCGCCTTCTTTGAACCATTTAAGTCTGGATTTTTGAAGCCACTCGTGTTCTTCTTTTCTCAAAAGTGCCCACAACCGAGCCTTCATAGCCACTAGATCAGTCTGATCAGAAATTGAGTTGGGGTTCGAAATACACATTTTTTCTAAATCATCGATTTGTTTCCCAATATTTTCCACATAATCTATTTTGTTATCACAGATTGATCTTTCCCTTTCTTTTGTCACGGCCTTAGTAAGCGACAACGACTGCAGAATGCCTTTACCTCTATTAGTCCTCCACACTTCCTTAATTCTATCAACAAGAATTGGATCTTCGACCCAACGGTTGAACCATTTAAAAGGCCTAAACACTTTTTTTCCTTCCTAACTTTTAATACAACCGGGTTATGATCCGAAACACTTCTTGAAAGAGTAAACTGCACCATCCCCGAAAAAAGGCAGGCAATATCTGAAGAAATCAGAAACATATCCAATCTACTAGCAGCCATACTCACTCCGCTCCTAAACCATGTAAATAAAATGCCAATGACTGGAACATCAATCAGGTCCCACCGTGAAATAAAATCGTCAAAAATACGCCTCGCAATAGGGAGATCAGAGGCCCATATTCTTTCAGAAGCCAACCTTACAACATTAAAATCCCCCTACAATAACTGGACAATTGAGGTTTGTAATAACATAACTAAGTTAGTCAAAAAAATTAGCTCTCTCGTTATGCGTATTTGGCTTATATACGTTAACAAAACCAATCTCTAAATTGTTGAACAACAATCTGCCTTTCACAGCCACAATTCTCCTTTGAATAACCTTGCTGGTAATCTTAAATACATTACAATCCCATAGAGTAATAAGACCTCCTAAGGCTCCAACAGCAGGCGCAAAAATCAAATCCCTAAAAAAAACCCCTCAACATCCGGTCTATATTTGCAGTAATCTCACCCACTTTAGATTCCTAAAAGAAAGCTAGACTAGGCTTATTTGACTCTAAGACCCGACTAATGGCTCTTAATTTTACATTTTGTCTCAATCCTCTAATGTTTCAACTAAAAACTGAGAGACTCATATCCAAATTGAAACTAACACACAAGAAAACCTAAAACAGAAATCAGACCCAATTCAACGCTTACCCGATTGATCGTTCTACTCCAATCTTTGGATCACCTCCTCTTTCGACACTGAGAAGACAACACCCAAAGCCTCTCCAACACAAAAAGTAGCCATCGCTTCCTTATTGAAACCCACCTGATCAGCTGTTGCATCCCTCGCAGAGCAATCACGAACCACTGAACTCCCTATAACAACATGACTTGATTTTTGTCTATTCGAAATCTTCTTTTTTCTTTTTGATACATTACTTTTGGTAGGACTACTATTATCAACCACATTTCTCCCATCCTCAGGTCTAGAAAAGAAAATAAATTCACTTGTATTAGAAATAGCATTGAAAGACTTCGAGGATTGATCATTTACAACCCTATGAAGATTTTCTGGAAGACCCTCACCCCCTAATCTGATTGATGACACTTCTTCGATGGGGATATCCAAAAACCTTGAGCAATTAGATAATGATTGGGTCTGCCATTCTTGCCCAACATCTCTATTAAGAGACAAATGCCCAACACTTTTATCCGCACACAATATCTGTAGCCCATTATTTTCCAAGACTGGAACTTCATGCAGATTTTCTGCCACCGCACCTCTCATATCCACCTCAGCTTCCACTACCTCCCATTATCTGCTCCCATGCTATTAGAATTAACGTTCCTCCGACAGAGTGAAGCATGCGAGGCAACATTACAAACATCATCCTCGGGACCAATACTATCGGCATGTTCATCTTCTAACAATGTTTCGTTACCCTCCTCCATAGCATCTGAACCCCATGTACCACCATTAGGCATCGACCCGTCTATGAAAACTCGAGGCTCTTCCTGAACTTCTATTGTAATTTTGAAGGAGTAAAAGCTACCATTGCAAACAATGGAAACTTTCTCGGGAATATCTAAAGCATATTGAACTTCCAGTAATATCTTAGCAACATTAAACCTTGTCCGCTTGCTAGTGTTTTCTTCAATCATTAACACTTTACCCCATATACTTCCCAACTCTCTGAAAAATTTATCACTCAACACTCTTAATGGAACATCCATCAAATGAATCCAAACTTTAATTCTAACTTTGTTCTCATAACCATCCAATAGTCCGAGCACATCAAACCAACGAGAAATCCATTCTTCTCTATTGTACCAACACACCTTTCGATCGGATTCACTTTTAAATTGAATGACAACCAGTAAATCATGCCAATTGCTTACTTTAATGTTAAACCCTTCTGCATTGAAAGCTGTCTGAATGATATCTTCATTGTACATATTTTTTATTTTCCCCACTAAACAAAACTTCCTCCACAAAACATCCAAGCTCTGTTGAGATTTCTATCAGCCACTGACCTCGGGGTCTTAGGTTTTCTCTCATTATCATGAAAAACTCTAATCTTAAAACCATCCAAAATCCTACCATCTGCTCTACGGACCGCTGTATCTGCTTCATATTTCCTTCTGAACCTAACAAACGCAAAGGTTGATTCAGCTGCTAGTCTTCTTCTGTTTCGGTACGCTATAAAAACATCGATCACGTCTCCATAAGACTGAAATGCCTCCTTAAGAGTTCTTGAGAAAATCCTTTCACTCACATTGTTTACGAACACAGAATTTAGTCCTTAAATTTAGACTCCTTTAAATTTGCTCTCTAAACTTTTAATTTAGGAGAATTTTTTATTTGGCCCTTGATTATGCTCGAGGTTCCAAATTAATTATTCAATTCAATCATTGACTAAAATTAATTAGGATTAATATTAGAGCCTCCATCTTAGGCCTAATCTCACATTTAGTCCTTAAATTAGGAAAATTCTTAATTTGGTCATCGCTTTTGCTCGAGGTTATAATTTAATTATTCAAATTGTATAATTGATTAAAATTGATAGTTTAGATCCTCAATTTTAGGTTTAATTTAAACTTAGTCCTTTAATCTAAGAGAATTTTTGATTTTGCCTTCACTTATGCTTGAGGTTCCATTTTGGCTATTCAATTCAATAATTTACCAAAAATGATTAGGATTAATATTAGAGCCTACACTTTTCAGGTTTAATCCCCTATATTCTTTAAATCTCATAATTTGACACTTTAGGTTAGGGGAAGCCTTAATTAATTCACCTAGCATAATTAAGTATAATAAAAAATTGTTTGCTTGCATTTGGAATTAAAGTAGTAAGACAATGTTGATTTACCAAGGAGTTAATGGCGTATCCTCCGCATTATGCTCAGGGGTGACTATTGGTGACTCCTGAAGTAGGTTGACATTCTTTTCGAAAACCCTGCCATGTTTCCAAAATTCGAAGGCAAGGTTCGATTATTGGGCATAATAATTGATCTCCCGCATTCATGCTAGGGGCAAACATTGTTAGCTTAAATAAACGAACATCCTTTTCAACTGTGCATCTATAGTGAATTCTCGATTAAATAACGTTCGAACTCAGAATTTCCAATTTTAAATATAGGATAATCAACTACGTATCGATTTTTGAGCGTTGTGGGAGTGATAATCCTTCCTCGCGCGTAATTGACTCTCGAACCCATTTTCTGGTTTTCGTAGACCCTAAACTTGGTATTTTGATAAAAACATATTTTATTAGAACTACCGTGTTTTTATGGTGTCCAGATCGCACCTTAAAATGATTGGCGGAGACTTCTCACATTTCAAAAATCTTTTCAAATAAAAATCCTTAAGTCGTACTAATTTTTTTTCAACCGGGTGAAAAACGGTAACTACAACCCCCAAGTAAGAGATTGTTCGAAAGTGAGTTGGTGTGAGATGCTTCGTAATTTTCATTAGCTTTGTCTGGTGGTCCATTATTGCTGGAGCTCTTGCCATTCGGACTGTGGTCCAAACTTCCTTTGTCAAACGGCCAAAATGGAGCTGGGTCATTTGTCACAACAATGGTCAAATTCCTTGTCGGGTCTAGGATTTTGTTCCCAGCTTTGTTTCGGAATAGCCCATTGCATGCTCCGTATTGATTTTCTCCAAAACTAATCAAATTCAAGGTAGGCATGGATTGATAAAGATATTTGAGAATGTGGTTGTAATTTTTACATAGTTTAAATATTTTTTATTAATTACTTAATTTTATATATACTAAATTTATATAATTTCATACTTTTAAATTTCTAATATAACATTTCAAATTCTTTAATATAAAATTCTTAAGTTCTTACTTGATTGGAAGTACTCTCAAATTAATGCTTGTAATCTGGGTCTTACCTTTACTGGCTTTGCTGCCCGCATTTTGCTGACTTACCCTTGCTTTCAGCATTTGTCAGATCATCATTCTTAGCCTTGCCAATTAATTCCCTAATATTCCTTCCATTATCTTCAATTCTCCTATTAATTTTACTTAATATAATGATTTTATTGATAATATATAAAAATTACGCGTTAACATAAAAATAATATTAATAAACAAAAAATATTTTATTCTCTAATCTGAGAGTGGCACAAAATTTATTTTAGAAAAATTAGGTGATCACCTTGTTCATGAGAATTTGCTGTATATAGAAATGAAACCATCATAACATATAAATTTATCGTCATTATAATATGACACCTGCATGTCTCTCGTTTTGAAACAAATTGTCAGCAAATTAAGTGCTTTTATCCCGACTTTCAGTATTTAATAAATATTATTATATAAAAAAGATTTTAAGAAATAATTAAATTAAGACACTTGCTAATAAAATTTTGGAATTTGTTATAATATGCAAATACAAAGGTGATCTCCTAACTAGAGCAACTTATACTTCATAAAGCCGGAGAGAAGAAAACAGTTGAGCTTGTCCCTCGAAAGTATGGATCCTTCCTCCCTTCAGGGACTAAATTCTCCACTAGGTTTGCTTCAATGTTTCTCATTAAGTAACGAGCTTTTTCTCGACCAAGCTTTCCTTTCTCATGGTGATGGCTCGAGAGCTCATAATGGATCATTTGATGAAGGAGAAGAAAAACAAGTCCCCAAGAAGGAAACATCATACCGTGGTGTTAGGAAGCGACCATGGGGGAAATACGCGGCGGAGATAAGGGATTCGACAAGGCATGGCATTCGGGTTTGGCTCGGAACATTCGAAAGTGCAGAGGCAGCTGCTTTAGCTTATGATCAAGCTGCCTTATCGACACAGGGTCCAAAGGCGGTGCTCAACTTCCCCATCGAAAGAGTCCGGGAGTCGCTTCGAAACATGAATTACTATTGCAAGGAAGGTACCTCACCGGCCATAGAACTAAAGCAGAGGAATTATTTACAAAGGAAATTGATGGACAAGAGAAATGAAAAGAAGCAGCAGCCGTTGCAGGCCAAGAATAATGTGCTGGTGTTAGAAGATTTAGGATCTGAATACTTGGAGGAACTTTTGAGCACCTCTGAAAGTAGTAACTCTTGCTTCAAAAACTAAATTAGCTTACAACAGCTTTCATGTATATATTCTCTTTTTTCTTCTCCATTGTTATATAATTGTCAAGGTAGATGTAATGTCATGCGGACTTTCTCCGGCTGGTGCGCTCTGTTTCTTCTTCTTCCTTTTTTCAGTTGAAAAATTAAAGCCTGAATAACTTGTCTCAAGCTTAGCTGCAATCTAGAGAATGTTAAGTTGAATATATTGGACGTTGCATTTCGTTAGCCAACTTTCATATTATTTATGAGACTAATTATGTACATATATAAAGAATCTATTGAGAAACCCTAATGATAGAAGTAAATGTTGTTTTTTTGTAGTGCTTGAATTGAAATAATTATGTCTATAAAGGATATGTGCAATGCCAATAGACTAATAAAAATTTCTGAAATATTAAGAAATAAAGTACTAGTGAATATATTGAATAATGTTTACATAGAATCATTTGATATAAAAATTATGATATATTTTAATAAAAATAATCATTTTTCTTAAAATTATTTTTTCAAAGATAAACTCATCCTACTTGTGCAAACTTCATTGCTCAAACGTGAGTTACCAAAAGAAGACAAAATTCTCTTTAACTACTAGTACGACTCCAAATATTCTCAAACAATTATTAGATAAAAAATTATTGTAATTGAAACAAACATACCATAATTTAATTTTAGACCAACCAAGCAACAACTATTATGCAGTCTAAACTACAGTAGTTATAATCTGGGACTTGGTTTAATTCGCACATATGATGATTTTATAAAAGGACACTAATTTTTGTAGTTGGATTCTGGATTTGGGACTGTCAGTCCCGAAATCTGTTTAAGGGTTGCTGGTAGTTAAGGCAATCAAGCACCTTATACCAATTTATTATGACAAAAGCACAGAAACAATTAATTTGTTATCATTATTTCCCATTCATTTAAATTAACATTTAAAGGAGAAAAAAGAAAAGCAAGTTAAACGGAGGAGGAGCTGGAATCCCTGTTTTAGTTTTTCCGTCATCATTTTCAACAAAATTTGGGGCATTGTGGATCGTCAAAGCTGGAGGGGATGGCGTGATAGAGAGTACTTTCAACGTGTCAGGAAAAAACAGGAAAGGTTGGAGGGACAAATGAGAAAGGATGGTTGAAAATGAGCAAAGATCATGCAAATCCCACCCTCCAATTTTCTATTTGTTATACGATCCCAACGGTTCCGTAAGATTTATTGATGGTGTCTGACCATTCAATTTAACTATTATCTGTTACTATTAAATGATTCATTAATTTACTTTTTCCGTTGTTCCAATAACTTCTTCGATAAAAAAAAAACAAAAAAGGCTTGACTAAGTTCGTTATGGAGCAGCGGTTTCATGACAGGTGGGTGTTTTGTTTGCTAAATTACGACATCCGAAAAGATAGCAAAGGAGTTTGGGGTTGTATACTGGCCTGGAATTCGACACGTCCTCTGGGTACTGTAATAGATACAAGGCTAAAACTTGTGAATCTGGATTTTCTCCCCCCTCAACACTGTGGATTCTGATAAGAATATAGTTTAAAATTTATGTGAAATAGAGACGTTGAATACAGTTCAAAAAGAGGATTGAAAATGGTTCCATAAAACGCATTTAATTGGTGTGGAATATAGTTGTTGATGAGATTAAATGAATTATGATAACTATAGGTGGTATATCTTTTTTTGTTTTTGCTTTTGTTTGGACAGATAGTAGTAATTGGTGACAGATTAGTTGTTGGCCAGTGTTAACATATTTGATCTGTATACAGAGATAGAAAAGAAAGGGATAAGGGTTGGGTGATTATTAAGTTGTATTTCTTCTCCCGATTTTGATCTAGAGAATTTATAGCGATTCTTGAAATTGATGTCAAGTGTAAGATCATTATGGCTACTTATAAATTATATGTTAAATGAAGACAATCAATTAACAATAGATTTGATTTTAGTGAGTCACGTAACGTAAAAATGACACAAGACACATTATGGTGATAGGGGTCCTATAGCCTAGGCGTGAGCAGTGACAAATATAAATTTTTTTATTAGGTGAACCAACATAAATATAATAAAAAATTATCTAATATAATTCATACATATTTTTTAAGTTAAAAATATAATAACAGCTATATTTTTAAACGGAATCTATGAAATATATTAACTAGACGTTTAGTATCTTTTGAAGTGAGACGCACACTTTGTTGAAGAGAGGTGCACTTTTTTAAATTAAAAATTAATTTACTAATATATATATATATATATATAACTTAATGAAATAATCACAATCAAACAACATCATTAGTAAAGGGATTGTTAAGTATTTTTTGAGCTCCCAAGTTCGAGCATCATGATTGTAAGAAATTGATCGTTCAATGTTAAATGATTGAAAGTTATCTTTAAACAATTACTATCGTGTACTTACCACATATTAATAATAATAAAAAGAAACTTAATAAAATGCGTATTTAGTATTTAAACTATTATTTTTATTTTATTTTGGTACTTAAATTTTATTTTTTTTTAAATCATACATAACGTTTAATTTATGTTTTAATTTGATATCATACCGTAAAAAAATTAACAGAACTGAAAAAAATATAATAATAGATACATATAAACAAAATTCCTTATCTTAGGAAAAGTATAACGTAAAAGAAAAATAAGTGCACCTAAGATAAGATGTTCTGTAAGCTTTCCAGTAAAAAAGAAAAAAAACCTTATCTTCATATTTTGGTTTTTAATAGTAATGATAGCATTTCATCTTCTATAAAACCACATTAAGGGGGGAAAACAAAAACTATCAGCCTCTAAAAACCATAAAATCTTGTATTAATTTGCTAATCCACGGTCACCATCTTGGTTCTCTTCTATTTTCATGTGTTGGGTATGTTCTGTCCAATTTTAGATATGTTCTACTTTCTCCATGTTCTACTTTCATGTGTCGGGTATATTTGATCAATAAAAAGACTTATCTTCAACGCTAAAGTTAAGGATCTGGAAAAAAAATAACTAGTCCTTTTCTATTTTCTATTCCATACTATTACTTATCTTTTGGATTTTTGATCTACTTTATGATGTCAAGGACTGTTTTGTGTGGTCCATTTGTGACACACAAGCAAGTAGACAAAAGAAAAAAAAAGGAAAAAAATTAAACTAAGCGCTGAAAGACACCTTGTTGAAATCGCACTCAATTAGGTGTTTTGGACTCTAGCGGGACCTTTTTCAAGCATTGGTCGGAGGTCATGTTAGTGCGAGACGCTCCTTTTTTAGACATTGGTCAGAGGTCATGTTAGTGCGAGACGCTCCTTTTTTGAACATTGGTCAGAGGTCATGTTAGTGCGAGACGCTCTTTTTTTTTAACTCGGGAGATCGTGACTTTTCGAAAGACGTTAGATATTTAAAATTTGTTCTTCGGGGATTTGCTCTTTATATCTTCCGTAATTATCTGGAAGTCAGAAATTCTATGGGGCGCATGAAGGACCTTTTAAGCGGTAAAACATTGTTTTAATAGTTAGCCTTGAAATTCACTTCAATTTCAGTTTAAATTCAACTGAGTTTGTTGGGCCTTGTTAGATTGTTATTCAACTCAGGGCCGACTATTAGGGTGTGCACTCCGAGCAACCCCTCATCTTTTATAGGGATCTAAGTTTTTTTTAGTATATTTTTTATTTTATAATCGAGTCCTTTAATTTTCTTTAGTTTTATTTTTTATCTTTAAAATTAAGACCCCTAATTTTTGTAATTCTAGTTTTTATCTTTAGAATTGAGGTCTTTAATTTTTTAAATCTCACTTTTTTATATTTAATCTCACTTTTTTATATTTATAATTGATAACCCTAAGGTTTTCAATCTCACTCTGTACTTTTATAATTGAGTTTCTATGTTTTTCAATATTACTTTTTACCTTTATAATTGAGGCATTTAATTTTTCAATCTCACTTTTTACTTTTATAATTGGGGCCCCTAATTTTTTATTCTTACTTTTTTTGCTTTAAAATTAAGGCTCCTAATTTTTTTAATTTGACGTTTTACCTTTATAATTGAATTCTCTATTTTTTTCAATCATACCTTTTAACTTTATAGTTTATCCCCTAATTTAATCATTTTCCATGATTTATTAATGTAATATTAAATTAATTATTCAAAGTAATAGAATATATTTTCGTTTTATAAGGGTCTATATTTCAATTTCGGTCAAGGTCCCGAAAATATCCGAGATGGCTTTGATTCAACTGTTGAAAGTTTGTTACAAGATAGGCATATAATCTGTGTACCGAGGCCAAGTCTCATATGGGTTTATTGAATATAATCAAGTCTGTAATGAAAATCTGATTTACTTCAAAGTTCTAATCAAATCTTTTCCTGACGTATTTCTTATTCTGTTCCTTTTATTCATAGGTTCATAGGAGATTTGGATTTTCGAATGGATTAACTGCAGAATACAAGTCATTTGTTTGTATCATCACCTCCAGTCATATGTCATTCACAATAGATTGGTGTTTATTGATTCTGAATTTAGTAGTGAGCCATTCACGTCGTAGTGCAGATTCTCAGGCTAATAGAGAAGACTGTCCAGATTAATTCATTACAGGAAATTGGTGTAGCTTTCTGATAATATAGTTAACACTAAGTGGTTTCTTGATTCAGGGACTACACATCATGTGTCGAATGATCAAGCAACTATTCAGAATGGACAATGTTATACCGGAAGGGGTAAAGTTCATATAGTTGATAATTCTACTCTTGTGATTAAACATGTTGGCCAGTCTGTAATTAATTGTTTCAATAAGCTTGTATGCACTCACTATTCTCTGCATCTTAGCACATTCATGGAGAATCAAACTGTTAAGAATCTGATGAGTCCGTACTAATTCAGGAGAAGACAGTTAAGAATCTGAATCCATATATAGCAGAAAAGATAATGTTAGCCCAGAGCTTCATATCAGCTTTCACCATATTCTGGTTATTCAAGGATTACAATTTACAGTATTTCAATCTGTTTCAATAAGCACGGTCCCTTAACACTTCAAGATCCATCTCTGTAGGGTCAGTTGCCTGAATCTCGTAGTGGATACCAGCCAGTTCCCTTCTAAGCCTGCCTTTTGAT